GTCGATGGGCAAGTTTCAGAAAAATCAGTGAATAGTGTTTTTGGGGAATATATTGTGCTACGATTGCACCGTAAAACGTGCCAGTTGAATTTTGAGCTCTAGGTTTCAAATATGAGTTAAAAATGGTCTAATGAGTTAGGAAATATGATTTCTTATAATATTCGATGAAATTAAGACAGTTTGGGGAAGCGTGCCAATGGCGCGCGTAATAGCTTAAAACAGTGTTTTCTCCGAACGAATGGAGGACTCTTAATTCATCTGATCAAGCCTAATTAAAGGGGAATAGTTAATGTTAAAAATTTGAGTTTCTAAATAGGTTGTGAATTTACGGACGTTTAGTGGAATCGGAGGAAAATTCGGGCGTGAGGTGGCGGTGGACCCACCCCACTTAAGTGACTTAAGCCACATGTGCTTGGCACTATTCATGCATCACTTTCCTCCCTTCTTCTTCGTGAAACCCGCAGCCCCCTCCCCCAAAAACCCCATTTGCATTCAAATTTTCTTTTCACCATAACTTGATCATTTCTTAACCAAATCAAGTGATTTTTGTGTTGAAATTTGTTGGAAACAACCTTCTAAACACATTGGTACCACTCTTGAGCCTTGAAACCATGTATTTGGGGAGATATTGGCCATTTACAGCCACGAAATTTTGGAGAAAAAATGGTTGTCCATGGAGCTTTTTGATCTTCCATTGCTTGGAGGAGTCTTGGGTTAGCTTCTAGCCTTTGTTGTGAGTATGTTTCCATCCCATTTACATGGTTTAATTGTGATTGAATTTTTGGAAACCTAAAGCTTGATTTGATGATGTGTTGTGTTAGAGAGCTCAATTTGAAAATGTGTATTAGATGATAATGTGTTAGAATGATGTATTAGAGCTAGAAATGCGATGAAATTTATTGGTGAAAATTGATGAATTTAACTTAGAAAAATTTGATGATCATGAGAAATTCCTTGGAATGCCATAGGTTAAAATTCGATTCTTTGAGGAAAGATTGAGGAATTGATGTTGAAAAATGAATTGGATAATGATTTGTGTAGTTATATGGTGCTTAGATGGGTTGTGTTGTGCTTGGAGAGTGTTGGAATCAATGAGAAAATTAAATTGTGTTTAGAGACCTAAATGAGCCCAGAATGAAATATTTCGCAAAACGATGCGTAAATGTCGAAAAACGGAAAAACGACGATTGAACTAGCCTCTAAACAACCTAAGGGAGTGTTATAAAATGAGAAAGAAAATTTAGGAAAATAAATCTCAAATTTACACCTACATGGCCGAACCTCCAAGGGGAAAACTGGGTGATTTGGCGATTTTCGCGTTTTGATGTAATTCGACGCGAAAATGACGAACCGGCACTTGAACTGGCCTATTGACAACCTAATGAGACGTAACAAAATGAGAAAGAAAATTTAGAAAAATAAATCTCACATTTACACTACAATGGCCGAACCATCAAGGGAGGATGGGGAGGATTTTTGTGTTGTGCGTTTTGATACTATTTGACGAGTACTGATGGATGTACGTTATTGTATAGGTTGCCGTACGTCGACCTGAATCCCGAATCTTGAATCAGTGAGTTGCCCTTGGTCTGGGACCAAGTGGATTGAGGTAAGAAATTGGTTCATTGCATGTGTAATTATAAATTAACATGTATTGGTTGATCTAAGAGTGATTGGGAATGTCCTCTGTGTAGGCATTCCGCTGTGTACCGAGTTGAGGGATAAGCTGCTGCGAAGCTTGTGGAAACACGAATTAAGGTAACCTCTTGGTATTGGGGCTTGTTCCCATTTTCTGTTCCACCTTGCCAGTTGATGGTAACGGTAGGAAGTGTGTATGAATAGTATATAACACATGAGCATGCATGCATTATTGCTATGGGTACTTATGTACCGAGTCTCTGGCCAGTAGACAGTTTTATTAGCCTTCGGGCATTTTCGGACTTCCGCTGGATAGGTCTCCAGGAGGGAGTTCCAGTTGACCGCGTGTCATGGTGTGTGATCCGGGTAGGAGCACACTAGGAATGTCTTTGGCGTTTTGGTTGGTTTGGGCATCATGGTTGTGGTTTCTGTGAACACACCTTGGATGATACCCATAGGCTTATATATGCCGAGGGCGTACGTGGAATTGGGGTTACCATCCCGTATCGTCGTATTTTGTTTTCTTTATATTCCCCATTCTCTAAATCCCTTGCTATATCCCGTTTTCAAAGTGGTTGTTGTATTCTATTGATATGCATCGAAGTGAACCATTGGGTGGAGTTTTCTCCAGAACCTCTTGGTTACTGAGATATATTCGTATATCTCACCCCGTCTCGGGGCATTTATTTCAGGAGGTAGCAGTGGAGCAGGAGCCTCGGGCAAGAGGCCCGCAGAGTGAGCGATGGAGCGTTTCTTATTTTGCATTTTGTTGGCCGTGTGGCCTAGGCTAGACTTAGGGCATGAACATGTCATTTGTATTTATTAGTAGCTTCATTAGCATCTTGTTCATGCCATTTTGCCTAAGTCTAGTAGTGATGTATTTGGTTATGTTGTCTTTTAAATTAAGTTGAAATTTTAGAAGAATGTAATTTGAAGTTTTAGTTTCAAGTTGTAATTTGTAAAGCCATATTGTAATAGTATTGATGCATGTCTAATTATGATGGAAGGGCCTTAGGCCTATTTTAGGTTATGATAATATGTATGATGGAAATATGCATGAAAAAGGTGTTAGTGATTGCAACTACTTAAGAATGATTTATATGGACTCTATGTTTAATAACTATAAACTGGATTGGGTTGTAAGTGCCCCAAGGCGTTGTTGGTCCTTGTGTGTGCCACCCATTGGATTATTACTGTATTATCATGTGTTTATTAGGTACATTTGAGGTTTAAATGATCTTTTACAAATTTGGGATTATTGGAAAAACAAAGGAAACTCTGGCGAATTTTCTGTAGAATTGGCAGATTTTAGGAAAACTTCGGGAGAGCATATCTCCCTGCATAGAAGTCCCCTAGGGACGTGCCATACGCCATTTTGAAGGTTGAGATGTCCTCTACCTTGTGTCCAAGTTTGAGGAAAATCTGGGTTGATCTTCGGCCTGAAAAAAATAGAGAAACACGACTGCCCATGTGCCCCTGCACCTGAGGCAGATTCTGGACCGGATTTGGGAAATTAATTCCCGCTTCGTTTCTCCGTCAAATTAAGCGTGTGATATATCAAAATGAAGTTTGAGATGTCTAGTTTGTAGGATAAAAATGTGAGAGCAAATGTTTGAGTCTATTGAGTGCAGTAATTCGAGTAATGTGAGTGGTTTGGAGCTGTTTTGGGGTTGTTTGGGCTAATTGCTTATCCAACTTCAAACGGCGATAACCGGAGCAAATGAGCTCCGAATTGAGCGTATGATAGCTTTTTAAAAATGGAATTAAGTAAGACAAAAATATAATCTGAGAAGAAGGGTTGGTTGCGATCGGTTTGGTCGCAGAAAAATTTAGAGTGAAACATGTTCGAATTGGTAAAAACGTAAAGTTGGAAATTGGCTAAGTGAGTTTATGGGAACTCCTTAGTAACTCATAATAAATGATGTAAGTTATAAAAATAGTTGAAATAAGTCTTCCGCAAGAGTTTACGGTTACGGTCACAGCTTTTAATTATTACGCTTTTTATGATTTAAATGCTCGCGTAATAGTCGAAAAAAATTTACTCTCGTTTTTTTTAAATGAACTGCTGTGATTGTAACTGCGCTTAATATCATAATTAATGTTAACAATACCGGTACGTAACGGGCTGTTACATTTTATGGTATCAGAGCAGTTTTGTTAGGGAACTCTGATAATGAATATATAGTTGTGTTGTGTGTTGCATAGTTGTATGTAGATTCTTATCGATTACTGCATATGTGATTCCTTAGTGTGGGTCTGATCAACCCATTCCTTTGTGTTACATGCGTAGTCATCGTAAGAAGCCTGCGTGGCAACCTTGGAACACCAAATGTAAGTCCTTAGCCTGATGTTGTGGATGCAGTGTTGACTGCTCCATGGACAAGAGATGGCAGTAAGTAAAATATGAATATTATAGGACTTATGGGAAACAGACTTAAATTTTTCGTCTGACCTTGTAGATGAAATTTATAATGCTGGATTATAAGTGAAAGTTGTAAACAAATCTATGATATGTACGGTATTGCATGGATGAACCTTGTAGTACCATGAATAATAAAGATATATAATTGAGATGAGTCCATAGTATGGAAATGGTATGGGTAAAGCTTCCAAGTATGTGTGTAGTATAGTGTGTACAATGGACTTGGTGAATAGACTTCATCAAGGTGAAAGGTTTAGAACCTGTTGGATTATTGAAAATGGTGAAAAGATATGCTTAGGCATGAGTTTGAATATTTTATGTTGACTAGAAGTTATAAGTCCTTGATGGATGATGTGCACTTAAACAAAGTGAGATGGTTCATGCAGAGAAATAAATAGAATAATTGATGATTAATCCTATGGGATTTGACCACTTGAAATTATAATGTTGGTCAATTGTTAAATTGAGATGTATCGAAATATGGGATTTAAATCCATAAGGAGGTAGTATTGATTAAGCATAGGGGAGATGAATTAATTATGTATTATATGTATAAGGAAGAAGTTGATAGAATCGCCATGGATGGCATTGAACAAGGTTCATTGAGAGTATGATTGTCCGTAACGGAATATGGTCTAGCTTGACAGACATGCCATAAAGGAAACAAATGTGATTATATGTGTGCGTTAATGTGTGGAATTCTCCTTGGAAATGGCTACTTGTAGAGGTTCAGGTGTTATGAAGCATAAGAGGATTGATCCATGACGGAGGTCTCATGGAGATCTCAAAGAATGAATATCGTAAATTGAAATGGCCTAATTACTAGTGGATGTTGTAATGCATTGTGAATAAAGGAGAGAAGAGAAGAGAAGAGAGAGAAAGGGGGAGAGAGAGAAGGGTTATATATTGATCAAATTAAGACCGTCGGATCAAAATAGCCAATTAACGGTGAGATTGATTGGTAGTAAAATGGTAGTAAACCTACTTGGTTGTTACAATATCATACCCCATATTATAAATAGGAGCACAAGTTGTTTGCACCGATTTGGCATATTAAGTAAGGGTTTTATTTCTCTTATGTGACGTTAGAGAAATTTGTTATAAAACAATTCTTATATTATTCACTTCTCAGAGGGTACATGCCTTTACATATGACTTTAAGAATGAATATATAACTAATTACATATCATTACCCCATTATGCTTATATAGTTACATTTCACACCAAAGGTCATGGCAAGCAAAAGGTCACACAAAAGGTTATGGTAAGCAAAAGGTCACAACATTCTTGACTCTCAATAGTCATCTACATGTGAAACTCATGTTTTATAACACTTCTCCTTGGATGACTACACATTAAGAATATGCTTCATTAAAACCTTGCTAAGGAAAATCTTACGGGAAAAAACTTAGCGAAGGAAAAAGAGTACATTATTCATAACTGATTTACTTTCCCTAATATCAACAAATATTACATAGACCAATCTTGTGTACAAGTTGCTCCAAAGATTTAGTAGGCAATGACTTTGTGAACAAATCTGCAAGATGATCATTTGATTGAATTTGATGGACATCTATCTCACCATTCCTTTGAAGATCATGTGTGAAAAAAACTTTGGCGAAATGTGCTTAGTTCTATCTCCTTTCATGTAACCTTCCCTCATTTGAGCAATACATGCAGCATTATCTTTATAAAGTAACGTTGGTTTTCCCTTGATCAATTCTAGGCCACATGCTTCTTGTATATGTTGAATCATTGATCTTAATCATACACATTCTCGACCAGCTTCATATAGTGTTATTAATTCTGCATGATTTGAAGATGTTGCTGTCAAAGTCTGCTTTGTTGATCGCCAGTAAATTACAGTACCACCATATACGAATAAATATCCTGTTTGTGATCGTGTTTTATGTGGGTATGATAAATACCCAACATCTGCACACCCAAGTAACTCAGGCTTTGAATTCTTTTTATATCAGGTCGTGTGTTATTAGTAAAGTATATTAAAGCCCCAATTGCACTTAGATATGGTACTTCAGGACCAAGGACTTCTTCATCAGTTTCTCAAGGGAAAAAAATGATCTTTCTCAATGTTGACAGATTGAATGACCATTGGTGGACTCAATGGATGAGCTTTGTCCATGTAAAAATGTTTAACATCTTCTCTACATAGTTTGACTGATGAACAAAAATTCTATTAGATAAATGCTCGTTCAGCAGGTTGAGACAAAATTTTGTTACTCCAAGATCTTTCATTTCAAATTCACTCTTTAAATATTTTGTAGTTTTCTCAAGCTCTTCAAGAGTCCCAATTATTTTTAAATCATCAACATATACTGCAACAATGGTGAATCATGATAATGATCTTTTAATAAAAACACATGGACTAATGGGATTATTTTTGTATCCTTTTTAAATTCTTCCAGATTATTTTAGTCCATACTAGGATCTTTGTAATTTTATGGAATACATTTCTCGAGGTTTAGACTTATATTGTAAGAACCCGCACCGTTAATTAAGGAATTTAATTAATAAATTATGAAAAAATAGGAAATGATTCTATAATTGACTCTAATAATTTTTATGAGGCTTTCATGATTATAGTAAGTGAATAAGAATGCTGAAAGTCTCTTTTCGGAAGAAAAGTGCAGATACCGGTTCTGCTAGTCGGTATAAATGTGTACCGAAAAAGTATCCCGTAAAATTATAATAAATGCCTGATAATTACTAAAGTAATATGTAGGACTTGTAAAACGAGTTTCAAGTCCAAATAATGAGAACTGGTGCTAGAAACCGGTATTGGCTTTGAAAAGAGCGTACCAGAAATGTGCTCGGAAAAATATAATAAAAATATGAAAATTCTTGTAAAATTGAGTAAATTAAGAATCCAAAGTTTGGGATTAAAATGCTAAGCGTATCAATTAAAGCTAATACTGTGTGGTTAGTGTTAAGTGGACTATATATAGTCACTTGCACACAACCTTAGGCTGATACTCAGCCATTCTATGTGTGGCTTGTGTGTGTGGCTGCTGCCTCCTCTCCTTTTTCACTGTTCCATTGGGTTTTCTTCACAAAATCCTTCAAGACACCATTTTTTTATGAGAGACTTTACACCTTGAACACTTGTAGCTTGTGAGTGTTGACCTTGGGAGGGTGTGGAGTGTGTCATTTTGAGTTTGTGGCCTCTGTGGTGAGGTGAAGTTGCTGACTTTGGGGCTGTCTTCTTGGGTTTGGGGTTGTGTGACCTTGTTCTTGGCTTCTTGAGCTTCAAGAAGCCACCTTTTGGCACAAAGGGTCTAGTTTGAAGTGTATCTTCGTAGCCTTGTGAAGTCAGAACCTTGGAGTTGCATTGG